ATTCATTCTTTTGGCAATTCAACGACATTCGATCGAAGCGAAACTAACGGAACGACCGACGTTAATTGGCCTCTGCATTTCGTCTGTGAAATATATTCAAGAATTTCAGATTCAAATGGAAGGGCACTTCGATTTCGCCCTTTGCCTCGAAGGGAAGAAACCGGTGGATTCATTGACTCTTGGCTCGTTAGAGACGAGCGAGGGACGAGTGGCTGTTTATTTTGCCGAGAGAGCCCCGTGGCCCGTTTCGGGGGTTAAACTAATGTCTCGTAGCACTTTTGAGCTCCTCCCGCGGGACAAAGTTCTCTCGCATAACTCGAGGTGGAGAGATAGTTCGGTTCGTAGGTAGTTCGCGTCGACGAAACTCGCTCCTCTACATGTATGTACGTGTGCGCGCGCGCGCGCGCGCGCGTGTGTGTGTCATTTTTCTCGTCGAGCTCGAAATGAATTTTCCTTTGTACCGCTGCAACCCGCCGATTTTTCCATGCATGCCTGTGTGCGTGTGTTTGCTTCTTTCACGACTCGTTCGTTCCTTTCAAGAACAAGCAATCATTCGCCAGAGAGGATGGCTATTAAAACGTTTTTATTCGGTTAGCCGAAACAAAGGCTCGCTTATTTACCCTGGCCCTGGCAAGTGGAGGTGAGTGGAGGGTAGGGGAGATGTTGACTTTTATGGATTTCCCAGGAGCGGGCTTCTGAAAACGAGACCGCACCCGCGTTCATCAAAACTTGAATGCGTTCTTTTCTTCCGGAAGCACGGCGGCCGCGAGCAGCAATGAATAATGCACTTATTTTAATCATGCGTGTTGTTGCCCGGCAAATGTTTCTCGTTTCCATTGCAGCTCGCAATACGAACGTTCGTCGAGAGAGCCTAAAATAACGAGAGAGAAAGAGATCTCGAAAAAGTGTACTTGAAAAAGAAAAGAAAAGAAAAAGGGAAAGAATGAAAGAAAGGAACAGAAGGTAAAGGGAAATGAAACGCGCTGGCCGAAACGCGAATTCGCGGAATCACGGTGCGATGAAAAACGAGCGAAGAACAGAGAAACGAAAGAGAAGCGGAAGAGAAAGCAAAAGGAGAAGGGGGGAAACAAGCTCGAGGAGCAAGAGTCGAGGAGCAGAACGAGCAGAAAGAAAAGAGCGCTTTCCCCGGTTGGAAACTTTATCTCCTGGAAAGTTCCGAGTCACTAGAAAAGTAATTTCGGTGGACGATACGTACTCGCGCGTACGATACACAGCGTCTCGTCGGGACAATCTCTCTCTCTCTCTCTCTCTCTCTCTCTCCTCGAAGAGAGACTAACTGCAACTGCGCGCGCGAATGTAAAAAAGAGTGTCGTTGCGTCGCTCGATGCTCGAGAGCTGGGGTAAAAGGGCTTAACGTGTTCCCTTCGAAGGTCTTCTTCCGAAGGGACGAGGCGAGCTTAACGCGGATTCGCTTTTCACCGGAAACCGTGGGTGGGAAAAACAAGGGATTGCGACCTGCACTTGTCTTTCGCCTTGGTTCGTGATTAAAGTGCTTAATTAATGCGCCGTCCGTAACGATGTTTCAAACATCGTGTAAATAAACCACTGTTTTCTCCTTTCCGCCGTGTAGACTGCGAATTAGAATTCAGCGGCAGAAAC